AATAATAAAGACTTAAGTTTTTTGAACCCGCAAACATTTCCTCTGCCTGAATGTTTACCTTATTTTTACGCTGCGGTTTTTTCGCGATATCTTTATGCTATAACTGATATATTGAAATATGATTGACTTTGTTTGGTGATTTTTTCTTCTAACAAAATTAAATTAAAGTTAAAAGTTCGGCCAAAACTAACTAAATATTAAACTTGTTATACTCGACAAAATCTTCTTCAATTGCATATTAGTATTAATAATAATTATATTTACTCAAACAAGTATGAGGTAACCGCAGTAAATTTGCTTTCATCCATGTAATAATAAGTTCAACATATCAACTTATTTAAATACATCAAAGCTTACATTTGCAATGCTCTTCAAAACAATTCTTTTCAAATCTTTCACTAATGAAAAAATTGATAAGAATATATTTCAGAGTTCGAAAATTAGCTATTTTAGCTTCAAGAAAGTTACTATAAGCGTTTTTTAGTTAATCTCTTGATAAAACACATAAAAATACTAAAGAACTATGCAATAAGTGAAAGTTCAAATTATTCTTGCAAGTGCAAGCTCTAATAATCGGACTGAGTGCTTCAGCTCACTGTAAGGATTTGGTAAAGTATGGCCAGCCCTCGGACTGTCCACTTATAAAAAATTTTTGCAACAACACAGAGTATGAGGATGTGATGATCACATTCTGTTCCGAAACTTGCGGATTTTGTGATCGACCAAGAATGGTAAGCTTATTTCTTATCAAAAGTAACTTTTTGCTATTTGAGTACGTCACTTCGATAAAACTCTAAATAGCTTATAATGAAGAAGAGCTAGATAAGTTTTGCTGCATTATATATCAATTCAAATTGTTTGAAAGAATTTTTTCTTTAAAAAATATAGTCGGAACAATTTTAATAACATTGCAGTCGCCATGGGATTTCGATCCAAAGTTTATACCGTGGTGATAAAAAGGAAATAAAGCAAAATTATGATACTCTGTTTAGAATGAGACGAGGAGTGAAGCGTCCT